ACAGATAAAGGCATTCTTCAGTTTCCATCAAAAAGGCTCACTCTGAAAACAATACAAAGAGAACATGCCAGTCAGTTAGTTCTTTATACAGCTCTAGAAAAGGTAAACCATCAACACTTGACTGGGAAACTTTTAAACCATCAAGTTTCCAAACTTAGTAAAGTTGTACCAGAATAACCTGCTCAGACTCACATAACTCTCCAGAGTACTGCGCGTTGATCCCCATGTAGCTGCTTTCGCCCTGCTCCGTGTTGGAGCGCTGGTGCTGTCCCCTTGTCCCTTCACCTTTACGAGGACCTGTTGACCCTTTAGAGGAGGCCGTCCCAGAAGAGCTGTGGCCCCCGGGAGATGGGAATGATGGTTTGTTGTATGGCAATATGGCCTCTTCTGAAAACATACAAATATCCAAACCCACACATTTAGTGGCAAATAAATCTTTTTTAGCTTTTCCAGTTTGGAACATGTCCATGATTGCTTTCTTTCTGGCTAATACTGAGGTGACCAACTCTTGCCAGCTTTAACCAAACCCTACTCATTAGCAATATGCTCCAATGGCTAAACGTATCTCCATACCAAAGTTTAAGATGAAAATGAAGACATATGAGACCAAACCATACGGCTTGCCCAACCCACATCCCCCTCTGTGTCGCGCCAGATCCAGGCCTGGTTCTTTATGCATCGTTTGGGCTGGAAACCCAAAATGGTGGATCCTAATGATCAGACAGGCACAGATGGAGCTCGGCTTCATTGCAGCGTGTGTGTGTGTATACAGTGAAAAATGAGGGCTGGAACGATTAGGGTACATCTGTGCAACTAAGTGTGCCTCCTGTCTACTGGTTCCTGGAGAAGGCTGGTGTTGGCCATGGAAGAGCTCACTAATAGGGGTAGACAAGGCAATCTGTTTGCTCCAGCCTGGCCTCCTTACAGCAGGGACCGTAAATGAATGCCAAGGGTCCACAGCTGGCGCTGTCAAACATCTGCCTCTGATGACCACGATAGCAAGATAATATTTTACAGACCTGCTCTGCTGAATTAAGAGCATGTTTACTGTGCCAGGCTGATTAACTCATGTGGACATATAAGATCAGGTTCAGGTCTTTCATGAAAACATATTTCACAAAGTTGAAACACCAAAAAGGTATTTCTGATGTCCATTAACCTACTAAAGACCAGGCTGGTTAGAGCAGGTTTTGAGCTAGACTAGTTGGTGAACCATTCAAATTTTGAAAGCTGGTTGACCAAAATGTCTTTATGGACAAGCTGGTTGACCACGGAGTTCAGGGGTGTTCCTGTTCTGTGAGGGCCACATTAAAAAGTTTAGCTTTAACCTACTTAGACGTTTCTGGCAATCTTGAAGACCTTGATTGGTTGAGATGTGTTAGTTAGAGTTGGAGCTGAATACAGGACCTTGGCCTTCCAAGAGCAGGACTGGACAGTATGGTGAACAGCATGGATATGCTGGTTTGGATTCTTGGAGACTGACTAACCAAGAATCCCTTGTTGGACAAGTTGCTAACTAACTAGTATCCCCTGCTTGGTACCAGTATTAAAAACACTTGATTCTAATGTGGTTTCTCCTTTATGAGTCAATTTAAGATATTAACATGTCTAAAGAACTCAAGGTAAACCATCAATCGTCCTACCTGAAACAGGACCGTTTTTCTGTCCTCTTCTGCTCTCGTCTCCTCTCTCTATGGATCCCAGTCTTTCCAGGGCTTGTTGGTGGCGCTCCAGTGAGGTTCGGGCCTGCCGGTCCAAGGAACTCTTCATCTCCTCCAGGCCCATCATGGGTTGCCTCTCCAAGGACGAGGCCTTGTGGTCAGAGGGGTTGGGCATGTTCCTCACCCCCTGGACACGAGCTGTCTGGCAGGGTGGAGGATCTGGTGGTGGAGGCAGATCTGGGAAAAAAGCAGGAAGTGAGCATTTATCATCATTTGACAGTAGGTGTCTTTTGTATCTACATAAATGCCTTCAAAAGGGGTAATATTGATTTCATTCTGTTTGATAAATGATTATAATGGCTTGGATATTAGCTATTGCTACATGCATTTGCTTATGATCCCATCTGTCTCCTTTAACCAATGCTGACTTCCACATTAATTCAATGAAACATACAAGAGAGATCTGCCATCTACAGTAAACTGGTTTTTGGCCTTCAAATGTGGTCTAAACCAACATTAAACCATAAACCATAGCATACGTAATTAATTGACTGAAATATTTAGTCCTTTTGGTTTTGTCTTCATGGATTAAATTGTTTTAACCTGAACCAGGCTTTTCTAATGATCTGTTCAGTAAAAACTGGACTAAACCTCACCATCAGCACTGGCATCACGGCGGTGCGGGGCAGCGCCAGGGCCTTTGTGTTTGCGGGTGGGCCTTGCCGCCCGCTGGTGACCCAGGCTGTGTGTGCCCACCGTGCTTCCATCTGTGGAGAACGGGCTAGCGGGACGAGGTCTATGAGGTAGACCTTTATCTGCAGGGAGCAAAGTGAGAATCTTGTTTAGCCCATAATGCTATCGAAACACTACGCACCGAGGTGATGAATGAATCTTAAAAGGAAAGCATGGCAGGATGCTCAGGTGGAGAGCGGATAGCTTGTTAGTTTGATTCAGAAGCAGCAGAATCAATCAATACATTGCATTTCTATTGCAAAGCCTGTTGGAGAAAATGTTTAAGATTGTTAAAATGGTTTTATGAAGATCATTAAGATCATCATAGAGTCAGAAAGAGGCATGAAGTCAAACCTGATTGCACAATAAATAATCTTTTCATCAGCACCACATCTGTTTCCAGTTAATTCATTCGCTTACAGTGTAAACTGAATCACTTCATTGAAAGCGGAAGACCAAAACCCTGCTAAGTGAAAACAGTCGTCGCCAAAATCCACCAAGCAAAATCCATAAAGATGTTAGTATTTGCACCATGCTGCTTCACCAGGAGTTCACCAGAGTAAAATCAGAAAGCAGAAAAGAAGCAACATTCTGTTAAGAGTGAGCCATATTGCAGTCAGCAAACACCAGATTCCAGACTCAAATTCCTGTTTCCTCTAAACCGACCTCTCTTGCTCAGGCTGGTGCCGTCCAGACAGTAACCAGCCTTGTCTGCGGCCGCCACCAGGGCTCGTGCAAAGCTGCAATGGGTGAAGAGTGAGCCATCAGAGGAGCTGCCGGCACTAGACCTTCTGCTGGAGAAGTTTCTGTCATCATCTTCTGAAGCCGAGCCCCAACCATTCACCATGGAGCCTGGAGGGGAGCGGCCGCATGGGTGTTAGATTGACCAGGTTTGCTAGTTTTATAGTCCAGAAAAACAGGACGTACTCTGAGATTTTACTTTATTAATATTTAAATGCTAATAAATTATTGATGCCTTTATAAAGGCAAATGGCAAACTAAATTTACCAGAATAATATAATGAGGCTTTGCTGTGTGCTGGAAATGATAATTCTCTTATCTGAAAAAAATGTGTTATATAGCACAGGTGAGCTATGTTTGATAAGAGATGAGTCAGCTACCATTATAATTATTAGGTAATTGTAATGAAACTAATAACCAAAACAAAATGACTGTGGAGGGTAGATTACGAAAAACATTAACATCCAAGAAAAAACAAAGAAGCAAAACACCAAAGGCACACAAAAAACACAGAAAAATAAAGATAAAAAAGCAAGTAAACAAAAAAACAACAACAAAATCACATAAATCAAAACATTCTAAACAAAACAAAATGACCGAGGAGGGTAGAATATGGAAAACATACAACAGCCAAAACAAAGCAAAACACCCAGGCACACAAAAGTACAAAAAAACAAACAAAGAAAAAAAAAAGACTAAAAACAAAATTAAAGACAACAAAAATAACATAAACATGAGACAGTGAAACAAGAAAAAAAAAGCAAACAACAAAAAATACACAATAAAGGCTTGAGTCAACGAATAACTGTTACAATACATGCGTAATTTATTAACTAAAACATTAATGTCATTTAATAATTTTTGTTTCACTAATCCAAGCTGTTAGGTTTTTTTTCCCTTCAGTAATGCATCCTATTTCCATCCTCCATATAATCATACACCCGCCACCTGACTACACATCACAACCTAACTTCCTTTTGATTGCTCTGACAGGAAGGAACGCACGCACCTGCTCGTGGCCCGAGGTGAAGCAGCTGATTTCGCACACAGAAACATGCAGCATGATCAAAGCAACGACACGGCTGCGTGCTGTTCTTCTTCTTTGGCACTTGTCAGATTTATGGCATGTATTTTTTTGATTGATGGCAACCCGGTACAAACATCCTCAGGGAAGCCAATGTGAGATGGCACGACTATTGTTTAATGATCCGAGAGGAAAGTTAAGAAGGTTACAGTGG